GTGGAGCAATGGGACTTCAAAATCAGGGGGAAAAGATTTGCAGCCATATAATGTCATTGCAATAGGGAGTCAAGACCGCACTATAACCGTGTGGACAACTGCAAGTCCACGCCCTCTTTTTGTCGCAAAGCATTTCTTTGGCCAAAGTGTTGTGGACTTATCATGGTAAAAATTTTCCCTTTTTTGGATGGAAATCTACATATTTAATGATTTCTTGATTTGCAGTTATGTCTTCATTATGAGGTTTTGTTCGTGTCCGAAAAGTGCCCTGGATTTACCATATATGGGTTTATTATGTAATCAATTTACGGTTTCTGTGTGTAATCCTAGACTATTTTTCTCTTGCGAAATGACAGGAGTCCCGATGGATATTCACTTTTTGCATGTTCTTTGGACGGAACAGTGGCGATGATTCACTTTAATCCAACAGAACTAGGTGTCAGGCTAACAGATAATGAACTCGAAGAGCTGAAGAAAAATCGATATGGAGATGTAAGAGGACGACAAGCAAACTTAGTTGAGAGCCCAGCTCAGTTATTACTTGAAACAGTCTCTACAAAGCTCTCCGGTAGCAAGAGAGCAGCATCAGATGTTCAACAAAATCAGGTTATAACAAAACCTTCTGTGAACGTGGAGAACACTGCAAAGAAGCGTAAATCTCAAGTCGATGATCGAAACAAGGGAGCAGAGGCTACTGGTGACACATTGAATAAAGCGTCAACCTCAAATCGGGTATCTAATCCTGTGAATCAAAAAGTGTATAGAAGGCCTGACGGAAGAAAAAGGATCATTCCTGAAGCCGTTGGAGTTCCTCAGCAGGAGAATAATATCGCTGTTAACGGGCAATCCCATAATTTTCTGCCTGCTCCTTCTGCTGCTCCTGGTAATAGAGATAGCGGAGATACTCCTGTGGAGACTAGCAATAGGGATTCATCCATGAAAGAGATAATGGGCAGGAACCCTGATCTCAAAGAGCGTCCAAGGATTACAGCCCGTGCTACCATTACTGAGAGCCTTGTTATTGAGAAAGTTCCTGGAACCTCTGGTAATGATGGGATTTTAAATGTGGAGCAATCTGTAGGTATAAAGGGATCTTCTAGCACAGATCTATTGATAAGGGTGTTTGATTGGAAAGAAGGGGAAACCACGGCACCTGTTTGCTTAGAAGCTTGTCCAAAGGAGCATGCTTTGGACACTGTTGGTGCAGTAAGTACATCCATGATCAAGGAAACTGAGATTTCCTGCAAAAGATCAGGTGAAACTCTCTGGTCTGATAGGATTATGGGGAGAGTCACGGTTTTGGCTGGAAATCCAAATTTTTGGGCTGTTGGGTGCGAAGATGGAAGCCTCCAAGTAAGAATCATACTTTTTCTGTATTGATTTAGAGACCTGTGTTTCAGCATCTTATTTGACCATAAAATTTTCATTGATCAAACTAGACCTTGACTCATGATTCTTTCTCCATTTGGTCTCATTGATATCATTCCTATTAAACGTCCTCCTTCTATTATTTGGATTTCAAAAGAATCTGCTACTACTCTTAATATCTATTCTCCACCAATTTAATTCCATTTGAGTCGCTAAACATTGGACCTGTGGTAGTATTTCTGTTGGGACCTGACTTTCTGAGGAAGCGTCTAGTTCAGAATCTGAGGCTACGAGTATATTAAGTTCTTTGAGAATGAGTTTTAGATAACTTAAATAGTATGAGTATGTTGTGGTTCCCAGGATAGTGTTTGATGACATATTTACTTTTTTGTTTTCTGAAGGTTTACACAAAGTGTGGAAGGCGTGCTATGCCTACTATGATGATGGGATCTGCTGCAACATTTATAGATAGTGACGATAGCTGGAAATTGCTGCTTGTCACAAGGAAAGGATCTATTTATGTGTGGGATCTATTCAATAGGAAATGCATCCTCCATGACTCTTTAGCATCTTTGGTCTCTTCTGATACCAAGTTATCTTCCACAGTAGCAGGTATGCTCCAAGACTCGAATACATTACTGGTTTCTCATCCTCTACAATCATGTCTCTTGTGGCACCATATTTAAGATTTCAAAACAGATGGAATGGGCTGGGATTGAAGTTTTTTTTTTTCTCATGAGTAACTTGGTATTTAAGATACACACTTGGTTTTTGCATGAGTTGTTTTGTATCTAGTAGTACGAACATGGCTCTGATATTGTTTGGACAGTCGTGCTTACCAAGTAGAACCTGTAAAACGAATTAAACCTTCGGTGATGCAACAAGCTCTGCTGATACAGTGTTATGTTTTTGCAGGTACAATAAAAGTCATATCTGTGAAATTATCCAAATCTGGTTCTCCACTTGTTGTTCTAGCCACACGTCATGCATTCCTCTTTGACACGAGTCTAATGTGCTGGCTGAGAGTGGCTGATGACTGCTTCCCGTCCTCAAATTTCAGTAGCTCCTGGAATTTGGGCTCAGCTCCATGCGGCGAGCTTGCTGGTTTGCAGGTTGATGTGAGAAAGTACATGGCCAGAAAGCCAGGATGGAATAGGTTGGTCTTGTCTCCCTTTCCTTACATATCGGCCTTGAAACCGATCACATGTTCTGAATCCTTGCTTATTTCATGTTTACAGGATAACTGATGATGGTATGCAAACACGTGCACATTTGGAATCTCAACTTGCATCCTCTCTTGCGTTGGAGTCTCCTAGCGAGTACCGCCAGTGCCTCCTCGCCTATGTGAGGTTTCTAGCAAGGTCTGTGCCCTTTTCTCATACGTTATGGTGTTAAATAAAAATGAAGTCTCATATTCTGTGAGATACAGCTAAGCTAGAGGGAGCTTTGAAAGTTTATCGGTTTTCCCGAGGGTTTATCCATTTTTATGCCAGGGAGAGAATTTATCCTCGATTTCAGATTCTGTTTAGTTATTTCATTTAATGGTGAATTTAGGGGTTTCTTTGTTTTGTGATTGTTACTCTCTCATATTCCACTTAAATTTGATCGGTGTCTTTGTCTGCAGAGAGGCAGACGAGTCAAGACTAAGAGAAGTGTGCGAGAGCTTTCTTGGACCTCCAACTGGTATGGCTGAAGCAGCAACCTCAGACACAAACTTGTCTTGGGATCCTTATGTTCTGGTAAATAAGTAACCTTCTCTTGATCAAAGCCTAACCTTTGTCCAAATCAAAACACACTAAAACTCGCTTTCTAATTTCTAGGGGGTGAAGAAGCATAAACTTTTGAGAAACGATATTCTTCCTGCTATGGCGTCAAACAGAAAGGTGCAGCGTCTGCTCAACGAGTTTATGGATCTCTTATCCGAATATGAAAACACAGAACCAGCAGATGCCATCCCCAAGGGCTCGGCGCCTACCATAGACTGTGGTGGAGTCCCATCTTCACTGGATCAAATGGACTCTGATCCTCCAGCCGTGACAGCTACGACTCCATTGACAATAGACAATGAAAAACAGGTTTCTCTGGGGAATTCTGCGGCTTTGGAGACAGGTATTGTATGTGAGGAAACGGGTTCTGAAGACCAAGAAAAACACGACCAGAATTCAAGAGACCAGGGCTCTTGAACTTCTCAGTGTTTTTTTGTATATCAAGCTCAGAGAGGTGTGTAAGATTCCAATTAGGTCATGTTAAAGATGTGATAGAGCAAATGATGAGATGCAACAGAGGGATGTTGAGAGTCTCTCAGGTTTGCTATAGTGTTTCGGTTTTAGTGTTCACTTGTGTAAAGCTATACAGGGAGATGGTATTTGTTTTTAGTTTTTGACTCTTTTAAAACTTAACAATATTTTGTACTAACTGATTAAGTTTAAAAAAAAAAAAAGATTTACCATCCTAATCTAATTATTTTTTTTTTGGTTTAAAACATAACGAAAAATCAAAAAATCGCAACTTTTAAATTCATTAGAAAATATCAACAATGGTTTAATGTATAAGAAGTGTACTGAATAATTTAAGAACTGTCAGAAGTTTAATTTGATTTTGGTGATGGTTTTTGAAAACATTAAATAAATTTGGTTGTTTACAACTTTCTCTTGTCCGTATAGTCAAAATTTATGAAGTATTAATTAGAAAATCAAGTTTCTGCAGCTATGCTAGTCAAATTCCAAAAAAAAAAAAAAAACCCTCCGCTTAATCTAGATAAACTTTTTAGTATCCTAACTATTTTCCTGCCGAGAAAACCAATCTAACTAATCTATGTTTCCATTATAATACCTCAATTTTTAGATTAGACCCATTTAACACATCCGATCTAAGAGAAAAAATAACCTCTGTCTACTAACAAAATTGAAATATTTAATAAAAATTATATTAAATTTCTAAAATTTCAAAAAAATATCCCAAATAATCCAAAAAATCAAAAACAAATTCTGAACAAAAATTCTAAAATTAAGGAACAATAATAGCAAAAAGTCGTCAAAAAAAAAGCAAAAGTAAAATATTTACAGAATTTTTAAAATTTTTAAACGATGACATACATAACTTTTAACAATAATAATAATACAAAAATTTACATAAAAGTAGAGATGTCAAAACCATGTCCTACCCGCATCCGCAAAGCCTGCATATATTCAAATACATACCTTCTTCTTTCTCATTGGAATTGTTGATGTTAAGGGTGAATACTTAGTGGTTCTTTAATTTTTAAGTTTTCTTACTGTAATTAGAATTGTATTATACTGATAATTTCGCCTTAGATTTCGAATAAGATCATTTGTGATGCTTGAGAAGGTTTATATTACCTGCTTAGTTCCTGGTCTAAAAAAGTATTGGTCTGGATCCATAACCTCCTAACGAAGAAAAGAAGATATTTTGTTTAGAGAAAAATGCAAAAAAATCCTTAACTCCCAATTTTCAGCCAAAAAAACCACCAATAAAGAGTTGGACGAAATAAATTTTTGACTTTCTTTGACTAATCATTTAATCCTCAATTTTTGTTGATCAAACCATTTTATAATTGACTAACGATAGAAGAGCTCGTTTAATAAAAGTTGGAGATTTTTTTAAAATAAAATGTTGAAATTTTTTACCAAAAAGTTATTTTTGGTACAAAATTTTAGATTAAAATAGGCCAAAGCTCTGCTAATACCAATGCAACAGGTCTGGAGCACAGGCTTAAGGCTTCTAACTTTTGAAGGTGATTTTAAAATTTTGATTGATGTTATACATAAGGCAAATAAGAACTTCAACATCGAGAATATCTGCTATGACATTAATCATTGGATGCACAAGTTTGAAGAATGTTCCTTCCTTTTTTTTTTCTTTTGAAAACAGCTCGAGTTCGCCCTAGCCGCTAGAGAGAGAAAAATATTTTTTTTTAGCCTCTCCGGTGTCCGCCGTTTGTCGTCGGCACTGAGAGAGGATGCTTTGTTGGTGTCTTTTGTTTTCTGTCTTCTTGTTCAGGGCTTAATGCGATCTGTTTGGCCTTCTGGAGGAAAAGGATGAGATTTCATCAAGGAATTTGTGCATCTGGAAGATTTGTTCTTCTGGTTCTGCGATGTGGGTGTGATGACCTCCTTGGTGTGCTGTCTTCCTTCGCATTGGTGCTGTGTTTTCTTGGCCACATCTGGTGTTTTTATCCTTCGGATTCATTAGGCTATGGTTAAGATCCAGATCTTGGTCGTGCTTGGGTCTCGGAGAAGCAATTAGCGCCGGTCGGTATCCGACGACGAAGTGATTTGTTCGCAAACGCTGGTGTTTCTTCGAGATTTGAGTCGTGTTGGTTGATTGTTTTTTTTTTTTTTTGCGTAGTTTTAATCCCTGCATGCGGATTCTGAAACCCAGTCTTGGGTTATAGCAGTTTCTGAGTGGATTGTGTGGATCTGTGTTCTTGTGGCTTCAGTAAATTGGGAGTAGCTTCAGTAGATTGGGAGCAATTTGATGGAACTTTAGATCTTTATTCCTTATGCTTATTAATGCAAAGGGGTTTGATTCTATCAAATTCGGAATCGATTGTTGTGATTCTTATTAGCGATTTATTGAATATCTGTCATATTTTTTTTTTAATGTTTTTATTGTCTCCAGTTTGTTTTCCTTATAACTGTTGGCTAATGGCTCTGGGGTTTATCTTGTTAAATCGCCGGTTTTTGACTCTAAGAATATTTAATTCGCCAGCTTTGTATCTTTGTGATCAATAAAAGTATAAAACTTCAGATGACAAAAAAAAAAAGAATGTTCCTTCCAACATACAAAAAAAAAGAATGTTCCTTCCTGACAAATAAATAAAAAATTTATTTTTACTTTTATTTTTATACTATATTCAACATATTTTTAGGTGATAAATAATATGGTGATAAATAAAACGGGATTTTGATATTTCATATCAATAATTTCTTTTCAACTAACAAAATAGATTCTTAATTGTTAATATTTTATTTTCATATTACTTTTCATTACTTTTATCCAAAATTTTGAAAAAATATTTTTTTGCACTATAAATACATGTTTTAGGAACCCTAATTCGTATGACGTTCTTATTGTTTTAGAATACTTTTTATTTTTAGGTTTTAGAGAGAGAGAGATTTATCTCTTGAACCCTTGTTCTTTCTTTTTCAATTTCGGTTTCTATTCTACTTTTTAATACTATGTTTTTGATTTCGTTCATTAGGTCTGAGTATTTTTATTGTTGGGTCTAAGGTATTTTCGATGGGGATTTATATGTTCGGTGACGATTCCATGAGCTTTTAAGCCGAATCTTAGAACTTTTTCTTCTGAATTCGTTTTTACTGCATGAGAGTAGCGTCATGAACTACAATCTGATCCAGATGCTTGGTGACACGAAAGTGTTCATCAGGTTTCAGATCTAGTTTGGGAGAGCAAAACAAACATAGGAGTGGAAACCTACCTATGGGCGATTTGTGAATGCTGACGAGTCTTAAACATAATGCATTTCTTCTTTTCCAGGGCCAGAGTGGAAACATACTGGTCAGGGTTGAGAGAGATAGTTGTCTATGATCACAACAGTGGCGTATTCATACGTCCGTGACTCCAGTTCGATAAGTTTAAGCTAAGATCTTATCAAATTTACTCTCTAGCAATGTTTTGAATTGTTCATACCCCTGAGAAAACTTCCCTGAACCCCAGCGCTTTCTTTCTTATAGATTTACACCGATTTTCATTCAAGCTTTAGTCTAGTTTATATACTTTTTCAATCGATTTTCATTCAAGCAATTAGGTTAGCCGTTTTTCCCTTTTTTGCCTGTTTTCGTTAAGTTTAGTTGTTAGGTCATTATAATTACCGTATTTTCTCTTTAGGATTCGTTTTTACATTTTAAATACACCACCAAAACCCTCACAAAGGCCCATTTCTCAAGCCCATATCATTTTCCCAGCCTTGATTTCGGAACCCTAGACCCTAGAGATGTCTTGAGCACTATAAATACATGTTTTAGGAACCCTAATTCGTATGACTTCATATGTTCTTATTGTTTTAGAATACTTTTTATGTTTTAGGTTTTAGAGAGAGAGAGATTTGTCTCTTGAACCCTTGTTCTTTCTTTTTCAATTTCTGTTTCTATTCTACTTTTTAATACTATGTTTTTGTTTTCGTTCATTATGTCTGAGTATTTTTATTGTTGGGTCTAAGGTATTTTCGATGGGGATTTATATGTTCGGTGACGATTCCATGAGCTTTTAAGCCGAATCTTAGAACTTTTTCTTCTGAATTCGTTTTTACTGCATGAGAGTAGCGTCATGAACTACAATCTGATCCAGATGCTTGGTGACACGAAAGTGTTCATCAGGTTTCAGATCTAGTTGGGAGAGCAAAACAAACATAGGAGTGGAAACCTACCTATGGGCGATTTGTGAATGCTGACGAGTCTTAAACATAATGCATCTCTTCTTTTCCAGGGCCAGAGTGGAAACATACTGGTCAGGGTTGAGAGAGATAGTTGTCTATGATCACAACAGTGGCGTATTCATACGTCCGTGACTCCAGTTCGAAAAGTTTAAGCTAAGATCTTATCAAATTTACTCTCTAGCAATGTTTTGAATTGTTCATACCCCTGAGAAAACTTCCTTGAACCCCAGCGCTTTCTTTCTTATAGATTTACACCGATTTTCATTCAAGCTTTAGTCTAGTTTATTTAGTTTTGCAATCGATTTTCATTCAAGCAATTAGGTTAGCCGTTTTTCCCGCTTTTGCCCGTTTAAGTTTAGTTATTAGGTCATTATAATTACCGTATTTTCTTTTTAGGATTCGTTTTACATTTTAAATACACCACCAAAACCTTCACAAAGGCCCATTTCTCAAGCCCATATCATTTTGCTAGCCTTGATTCTGGAACCCTAGACCCTAGAGATGTCTTGAGCACTATAAATACATGTTTTAGGAACCCTAATTCGTATGACTTCATATGTTCTTATTGTTTTAGAATACTTTTTATGTTTTAGGTTTTAGAGAGAGAGAGAGATTTGTCTCTTGAACCCTTGTTCTTTCTTTTTCAATTTCGGTTTCTATTCTACTTTTTAATACTATGTTTTTGATTTCGTTCATTATGTCTGAGTAGTTTTATTGTTGGGTCTAAGGGATTTTCGATGGGGATTTATATGTTCGGTGAGGATTCCATGAGCTTTTGAGCCGAATCTTAGAACTTTTTCTTCTGAATTCGTTTTTAATGCATGAGAGTAGCGTCATGAACTACAATCTGATCCAGATGCTTGGTGACACGAAAGTGTTCATCTGGTGTCAGATCTAGTTTGGGAGAGCAAAACAAACATAGGAGTGGAAACCTACCTATGGGCGATTTGTGAATGCTGACGAGTTTTAAACATAATGCATCTCTTCTTTTCCAGGGCCAGAGTGGAAACCTACTGGTCAGGGTTGAGAGAGATAGTTGTCTATGATCACGACAGTGGCGTATTTATACGTCCGTGACTCCAGTTCGAAAAGTTTAAGCTAAGATCTTATCAAATTTACTCTCTAGCAATGTTTTGAATTGTTCATACCCCTGAGAAAACTTCCCTGAACAACTGCTTTCTTTCTTATAGATTTACACCGATTTTCATTTCAAGCTTTAGTCTAGTTTATTTACTTTTTCATTCGATTTTCATTCAAGCAATTAGGTTAGCCGTTTTTCCCGTTTTTGCCTGTTTTCATTAAGTTTAGTTATTAGGTCATTATAATTACCGTATTTTCTCTTTAGGATTCGTTTTTACATTTTAAATACACCACCAAAACCCTCACAAAGGCCCATTTCTCAAGCCCATATCATTTTCCCAGCCTTGATTCCGGAACCCTAGAACCTAGAGATGTCTTGAGCACTATAAATACATGTTTTAGGAACCCTAATTCGTATGACTGCATATGTTCTTATTGTTTTAGAATACTTTTTATGTTTTAGGTTTTAGAGAGAGAGAGATTTGTCTCTTGAACCCTTGTTCTTTCTTTTTCAATGTCGGTTTCTATTCTACTTTTTAATACTATGTTTTTGATTTCGTTCATTATGTCTGAGTATTTTTATTGTTGGGTCTAAGGGATTTTCGATGGGGATTTATATGTTCGGTGACGATTCCATGAGCTTTTAAGCCGAATCTTAGAACTTTTTCTTCTGAATTCGTTTTTACTGCATGAGAGTAGCGTCATGAACTACAATCTGATCCAGATGCTTGGTGACACGAAAGTGTTCATCAGGTTTCTGATCTAGTTTGGGAGAGCAAAACAAACATAGGAGTGGAAACCTACCTATGGGCGATTTGTGAATGCTGACGAGTCTTAAACATAATGCATCTCTTCTTTTCCAAGGCCAGAGTGGAAACATACTGGTCAGGGTTGAGAGAGATAGTTGTCTATGATCACAACAGTGGCGTATTCATACGTCCGTGACTCCAGTTCGAAAAGTTTAAGCTAAGATCTAATCAAATTTACTCTCTAGCAATGTTTTGAATTGTTCATACCCCTGAGAAAACTTCCCTGAACCCCAGCGCTTTCTTTCTTATAGATTTACACCGATTTTCATTCAAGCTTTAGTCTAGTTTATTTACTTTTTCAATCGATTTTCATTCAAGCAATTAGGTTAGCCGTTTTTCCCGTTTTTGCCCGTTTTCGTTAAGTTTAGTTATTAGGTCATTATAATTACCGTATTTTCTCTTTAGGATTCGTTTTCACATTTTAAATACACCACCAAAACCCTCACAAAGGCCCATTTCTCAAGCCCATATCATTTTCCCAGCCTTGATTCCGGAACCCTAGACCCTAGAGATGTCTTGAGCACTATAAATACATGTTTTAGGAACCCTAATTCGTATGACTTCATATGTTCTTATTGTTTTAGAATACTTTTTATGTTTTAGGTTTTAGAGAGAGAGAGATTTGTCTCTTGAACCCTTGTTCTTTCTTTTTCAATGTCGGTTTCTATTCTACTTTTTAATACTATGTTTTTGATTTCGTTCATTATGTCTGAGTAGTTTTATTGTTGGGTCTAAGGGATTTTCGATGGGGATTTATATGTTCGGTGAGGATTCCATGAGCTTTTGAGCCGAATCTTAGAACTTTTTCTTCTGAATTCGTTTTTACTGCATGAGAGTAGCGTCATGAACTACAATCTGATCCAGATGCTTGGTGACACGAAAGTGTTCATCTGGTGTCAGATCTAGTTTGGGAGAGCAAAACAAACATAGGAGTGGAAATCTACCTATGGGCGATTTGTGAATGCTGACGAGTCTTAAACATAATGCATCTCTTCTTTTCCAGGGCCAGAGTGGAAACCTACTGGTCAGGGTTGAGAGAGATAGTTGTCTATGATCAGGACAGTGGCGTATTCATACGTCCGTGACTCCAGTTCGAAAAGTTTAAGCTAAGATCTTATCAAATTTACTCTCTAGCAATGTTTTGAATTGTTCATACCCCTGAGAAAACTTCCCTGAACCGCTGCTTTCTTTCTTATAGAATTACACCGATTTTCATTCAAGCTTTAGTCTAGTTTATTTACTTTTTCATTCGATTTTCATTCAAGCAATTAGGTTAGCTGTTTTTCCCGTTTTTGCTTGTTTTCGTTAAGTTTAGT